TGAGGGATTTTCGTTGGAATTTTATGTTCGTAAGGAGAAGAAATCAGTGCGGCGAAGTAAAAGAAAAAGTGGGAAGAACGGAAAACCGGGAAAGAGGATGAAAGCGGAATGGATGAGGCAGTGGTGAAAGATCTGTGGATGAGAGAAGAAGAAAAACATTGAGAAGAAGTTGTTGGCATGAGGTGAAACGGAGTGAGCTTGCTAAGTGGCCCAACTTCGGGTCTATCTACACTTTTTCCCGGTGTCAGCAGACCCGTAGCATGCTAACCCCCTGATAAACTCACAAACCACCCTTTCCAATCTGTCCAGCTACTGCGACGTAACATTTATCTTGTGTGTATACGATTGACAAAATCAATCCTCTTCTCCCCCTCGGTCATTTCTCTTTTATCTATAGGTATTACAGCAAAACGGCAATGTGATCTGACGTGATGCGAGAATGAATGGTTGTTGGAGGGTTGGTGAACCGGAAGTTTGGCCCGAGACAGAACATGGTTGGAGCATGTCTGAAATATCCATCAGAGGGATGAAATAATACACCAGTGGCATTGAAACCAGTATATCACAAAGCCACACCATTTTCTTCCGTTCGTCCGAACAATCGGCAGATATTTCCCTTGTCCACCAGTCTCAAACGTCACGATTATTACTCAACCCCTCCAAACGTCACCCTCAGTTCTCATCTCTTGTCATCTATCTACCAAACGAATACTGGATTCACGCCAAAATCGACACGTCTTTCAGATCTCGGTAAATATCAAGCGTCAACATCGATACACGTACCGATAATTGAAAGACAACACTTGGTATAAAGGTGGAATGATTACTCGGAAAGAGTTGAATACAAAAATGTGCTAGCTCTTCGGGTGTACTCTGTTGATTGCATTGTTTTCTGTTTTATCTCGTAGCCATTTTCTCCATCGTTTACTGGTATTGTTTGATACTCGTCTCTGGCTTTATTTTTGTTTTCTGCACGGGAATAGCATAGGAAAGGATCTCATCCCGGAAAGAGGCGGCTAAAAAAAAATGAGAACAGAAATAGTCTCCGAAAAACCTGTGACATGGAGAAATCGGAAACTAACGAATGTTGCTGCTCCATTGATTTCCCTATACCAGTCGCTGGGTTTCTTTCTTTCTCTTTTTTCTTTTTCCATTGAAGGAAAAAGCGAGGGGAGGGTTCGACATGTGTCCCCAATGGCACAGTATCACGTAACACTCGAGCGCTCATTGAAACGCAATTCGAGAAGATTGATAATGATAGAATAACAGAACTAATCCGATTATCAGAGTTAATAAATTTCGTCGAGATTTGACTGGGATGAAAATGGCTGGGGTTGTACGAACACGGTACAATTATCGTAAGCGGCGTAAATCCAAGGCTCTTAAGGACGCTTCAGCGCAAATAAATCGCCTGTGTAACTATTAAGTTCCAGAACCCGTGGAGGTAAAGTGAGGGGTGGGACTTTCCGGTGTTTCCTGTGCGCGCAAGTGCCGCTGGGACACACATAGTTCAGTTATATACTAGCCAAGAGGGCTGAAAAACAAACTGGAGTGCTAGGAGAGGGAGAAGATCAGTCGACATTATTGCCCACGAATTTTCCTAGCGATTTGGCCCAGTTTCACTGCATACTAACATCCATACACGCTTTTGTACTGTACTTTACATTTTTGTCTCATAGTTCTTTCCAGTTTTTTTTTTTCCCATTCCGACACATACCCCACCTTCTGAAATACCATCGTGGACGGATAGAATAGTTTGCTCTCATTTCGTTCATTCTTTTCCTCCATTTTTCCATCCCCACACAGCTGAATGCTAACGAGTAATTCTCGTGAATTCTATACAAACTCGAAACCGTTTAAAAACGTAAATGTCCATGCCACTCTGTATTGAACGATTAATGGAATGAAGTGGAATAATAAATCTTAGATAACTCCTTGTTAAATTGCAAAAGTTGTACTTGAGTATTCTACAATTTATCTCTGCGCTATTGATTATCTCCACGAGGCCATTGTTTGGGAAGGAGTTTGCGAAAAAGATTCATGAGCATTTGAACTCTTTGATAAAATGCCCCAATGGAGTCGCTCTCATAGGTTCCTCTTTTCAGTTTCTCATTCTCTGGTACCTGGCAAACGATTGCCCACCATCCACTTCACCCTACTTTTTCACTCTCAACTATCCTCACCGGGATGCTTTTCCGATCCGTGCCATTATCCACTTTTTCTTTTATCGTTAAAAATGGTGGACGAAAAGAAACGTTCGAAGGCAGTTAACACGTTCCAAAAAGTAAAGTTCGAACGTAATCTATTAAATAGATAACGGCCCAGCCCATATATACTATAACCCACTATTTCTTTCCGCTCTTTGAATTCTTTTCCCATGGTGCTCGCTAAGTTTTCCTCTGCAGAACGTGCTAATTTGTCGAAAGAAATATAAAAAAATAATAAAAAAGGATGAAGGTATGAAAGTACCGAGGGCCTGCGGTGGCTTCCTCCATTTTCACGTGGAGGGGTTGAAAAACATAAGAAATTGCACTTGAAGGGGAGGAAGACGAAGTACTGAAGGAAGATGTGAAGCAACGTAAAAAACTGCGGGAAAAGACAAGAAAAATAATACGAGACGGAGCGAGAGATGGAAGTAGAAAAACGAAATTGCAAAAAACAAATACCAACAACGGTGAAGAAAAAATAAATGAAAGCAAAGCGGCAAAAATGGTGTAGGGTTGAGGGTGTCACGAGTTAGACCTGCCTGGATAACGGCTTCTTATTCCCGCTTATTCCCGGGTTATTCTTCACGTGGTATTGAAAAATTGCCGCCACTCGGAAAATCGGAAATCGATTACACTCACTATCGAGCGAGCTTCGATGTAGACCGTTGCGCTGTGTGTAAAGGGAGAGGGTGTCTAAGAACAAAAAAAGGGGTGGCTGCACCTGAAGTTGGTGAGAGTATGGGATGAATATAAAAAGCGAGAGAGAGAGAGCAAGGAAAACTTTGAATGGGTGCGATAAAAAGATCGATTCGTCTGTCGTCCATGGCCCTGTGTGAAAGATCGTCTTGAGATATTCAGCGTCTCTTGGCTTTAGCCTTATCGCTCTTGTTCCCCCTCTGCCCGCACTTTTTACGGTTTTTTACCCAAATCACTTTAATCGAGCAGAGAGAGGACGTAGATGGCACGTTTATACCTCCAAGATATTGTCAATAAATATGTACCCTATGCATACCCGGTAATATCGATCTTATCTTTTGATATATACAGTTGGGGTTGTATGTGCAAACGGTTGAGAAATGTTGTACCCAGGGATAGGTGAGCCAAAGAAGGTAGGTGAAACGGTATACATAGCTTTTGGACATGGAGGAAGTGCTATAGCTCTGGCTATCTCCTGGTGTACTAGCGTAAATTCTCAACGAACCTGACAACATTAGGGAGAAGGTGGACGTGCACACGCGAGAATCGAATTAGTCATGTTTTGATGGTCACAAACTCGAGTAGATACCACTGATGGAGTATTATAGATTTAAAGGGTTTGCTTCTTAAATGATTTTGATTTCAATGAGATTTACTTTCCGTTGCCATTATCTTATACTTCCGAGTATATTAATTCAATTTCACAACCAATTCAGAGAATTCAATAAAATCCACAGAAATTGGGCACTAAAATTAATGAAATATTAAGTTTTAATGCAAGTGTTTCGTCATAGAAAAGTTTCAATGACACTTTGGTGTAGTCAACCATCGAGACGACCCCAAAGTCGTGCCAAACGGGAGGGAAATGGCGGCATGACACACGACGAAATCGTAAAAACCGTAGAGGATAATAGCTTGAGTATTGGGAGATCAGCGGTATGAGGTGGCACGAGATTCACGTTAATTTACTGAGACAAATCTTTGGGGCATCATTCTCAGCAGAAGCTGCATAGCTATAGTAGTGTCTCGTTTGTCCAACAATTTCAAAAGTAACTCAAAGCCAACTCAAACCGGTGATACTCTGTACGAGGTAGAGTGACGATGTTTCCTCGTAGTCAAGTATTTGCATCAGAGCACAACGTATCCAGTAGGTTGCAGTGGACTCAAAGAAAGAGGGGGACGGTAGATAGATGGGGTGGGAAGCAGATGATGCTGGGAATAGAATATAGTATATGGGAAGATTGAGAAGGAACGCGGAACAGCGGAAACACAGCCGCTGTGTGGATTGGATGCACTGAGATATACAGTAATCGCCAAGGAATAGGGTGGAGGCAAGTCTTTCCCTCTTTATCTCTCAGTGTTCACCTTCTCTACCCACTTGGACAACTCCAATCCCAACCTTGTACATACTCCTGAAGTCCTCGATCGAGAGTTGGCTCACTTGTTAATACCTTTACTCTTAATCATCTCCTCCTATTTTAGCGTTTGAATTTATTTCGTAGCAAATACGAAGGATTCGATTTTGTTCCCATTTTCCAATACACTTGACATAAAATTATAGGAATAATTTAGTCAATGTATTTCCTTCATCATTCTAATGGTGTTTGGCGAGTAGTGAGAATTGATTTGACGAGATTTTCTACGAGACTCCGCGATTTTAACTATTGGTCTAACAGCAGCGATTGGAGTTATGGGGTAGATGGAGAATAGTAATTGCAGAGTTACGCCAGAGTTTGGTAATATTGAATTAGTCGGGCTGTTTGTGGATTCAGTGCATGCTTAATTAACGGTGGGATTTCACGCGATTTTGGAGAATTGAGGGTAAAGAGAAATGTCAAACTCGGTGTAACTATTTTTTTAGTGACGATAAAGTTGAAAGGGGGAATGAAATATTGTAAATTATAGCGATACAGCGAATACGCGAATTTCTTACTTAGCGGTTGAGATTACGGCTAATAAATCTTTGTTCGTATTATTGAATGACTCGTTTTGTTGAATCGCATTGTCAATGAACACTTTTAAAATGCCTAGCTTTACTGATGCGCTGACTCCGTGAATAAATATTCCATTTAATATTTAATTGAGTTTTCAACATACCTCTGTCTCTAGCAGCTACGATGCAGTCGCTGATGAATAACCAGGCAAGGATGAGCCCGCCAAGCAAGCTTCTCCGTCGACCCTTGCCGCACTCCATGGTGAGGCCCCTAGCAACGACTACGCCTGTAATAATAAAATAAAATTCAAATATTAAATATTACCGCTGTCTTTTAAGGAATTTGAACTGAACTGAATTTAATCGAACAAGCACGCAATTCAGAGGTAAAACTTAAAACTTCGACTTTTGTCACAGAGTTATGAAAGTTTTAAGAAATTAATTAATCTTTCTGTTTTCTTTTAATTAATTTTTGTTCAACGGATCCGCCTATATTTTCAAACCAAATTAATCGGAATATCCAAGCTACTGATATTTCATTGGATCTATCCTATCAGACCCGTGAGAGTCCGACTATCAAAATGTTCCACGACTTGACAGTAAGATCAGAGTTGGTAGTTGGGATGCGTGATGATGGTTGATTTTTGTCTATCATCGGCAGTTGATAGTTGACTCTAGCCCTCACCGCCTGCCCAATCCCAACAATCAACTATTATTGGCAGTTGACAGTTCCGTGTAGCCCCCACCACGCATTCACCCTGTCACCCCGACTATAACCAAACTGTCAAATTACTGTCAAGTCATGGGACATTTCGACTCATCACTCAACTCTCAACTATAACGATCAAATAGACCCATCAGGGCATTCACTGGGATCATTAAAATTTTGGTTTTGTTTATCACTGCTGGACTTGTCAACAGAATGGAGTGGTTCTCCTAATTACCAATCAATTAGTGAACTCAAGAATTAGTCAAGTTTGAAAAATTAATTGAAGTACCAATTTCATGCAGCCTGGCTAGGGTGCGTAAAAAAACAAAATTTCAGAACATGACAACACGTAATGTCAATTTCTTATCTCTACCTGAATGAACAATATTACAAACTACAAATTGATTTTTTTTTATCAATCCAACAGCAAAATTGTAATTATATAGATTCATATTGAAGTGGAATATAGAAACTACCGGTATACATAAAAACATCGAAAAAAAATGCCCATGAAAGACGCACGTGTAATTATCACGGAAGCTTAGAAATCCATTGAAGAGACAATGATAATTGAATGTTAACTCGGTGAATATTCCCCGGCCTTAATCGCATCTACGTACACACTGGTGGATAGAAAAGAGGGGGGAGGGTACGACTGGAACCTATCCTGGTGCAGTATCTCTGATTATTTTTCCAACTAAAATGTATGCTCGACGGAGCTCAACGCGCATTACGCATAATTAATCCGCGGCGATTGCTATCGGTAAAACCCCAGCTGAGAGGCGAGCAGATTGTCCATTGCAAGTTGATTCAGCATTCCTTCCACTTTACCAAGTGTTTTCTCATGACGACTCTTAGCTCTCTAAACCTACGCCGCTTGCGTGTGCATGTATATTTGTAAGTGGTTGCATGAGCGTACAAGTTTAAATAAATAAATAATGGTGTAAAAAAAATGGTGTATGTAGAATCGTGCGAAATGAGAGTATATTCCTGAAAGATATCCTGAAATGAGTCCTCGAGATGCGCATCGATATGTGTGGGTATAGAAGGTACCGGGTATATATGGGTAGATCTTGCGAATGCACGCAAGTGCCTCACACACGCGACAAAGACAAACGTTGTTGCAAATATAGCAGTGCGAATGGACTCTTTGGAGATGGAGTATAATACCCTTATGCGATTATAAGAATGGGAACAGAGCGAAAGAGCTGGCATATATGCTGGAGTAATGAGTCCCTGGGATAATAAAAAAGGAATATCGTTTACTGGTTAATGGACACAGTGAAACCAACACGTGATGATTTCGCTGAGACCCGTATCCGACACTTTTTATGTGTTTCACCCTTACCTCCTCTTCTCTTCTCCCACATCCCCCTTGTCTCTGAATTATTCCATTATCACTCCACGTTTGTGGAAAATTTTCGTTGTAATATGCAGTTATATGTTCACCCCACTCTGACTCCTTATTGATAACCGGACCATACTGCCCGATCCCTGTGATTCGCACTAGTCTATCGTTGTAGCCTCCTCTCGAATCACCCTTTCCCCGGACAAATTTTATTACCTCCGTGGCAATTACGGTGAATACGTCTGCGCTCTCGAGAACGTGGCCAATTACTGGCCGTAAGATCTAATAAAGCCAAGTGGAGAGAGAGAGAGAAAGAGAGAAAGAGAGAAAGAGAGAGAGAGAATGAGAGAGTGAGAGATAAAGAGAGAGAGAGAGGAGGTAAAAAGAATGAAACATAAAAATATAACGCTAATAGATGAGATCGACGCTGTCGATAATACCAATTTGGCAGATAATGACGCAATTATGACGCGCGATAGAAGCTAATTTGCTCAGCGGAGGAGAATACAAAGTGGGCAATATAGTGGTGTTTTCACGCGATGAAGAGGAAATCAAAGTTTGGTAAAAGAATGAATTTTTTTCACTATTTTAATCATTCCACCGAGATAATGATTTATTTGTAACTGAGCTGTGGTACTTAAAAATTGTAATCTCCAGTGATGGTGACCCCGGCTCTATCATCAAATACGATGGAAATTCTTTTGGACTGAGGGCTTTTCTTTGAAATATAAAGGTACTTGACGAAGAATGTTGGAAACAGGGATACTAAATAAATAAAATAGCGAGAATCAGAGAACCTTTTGACTTTTTTTTATGCTTTTCAGGCGAGATGCTGGTAGCTGGGCTTTGCGCAGGAGAGAAGAGTCTCGTCGCTTGTAACCGTTGTCACGTTACAATAATAAAGTCTCGCGTGACGGCAACCGGCCACTCCGGAAGCGCGATGTACACGATGTACACCCCGTTATGTGACACGAGAGATAGAAGGAAGATAGATAGTCAGATAGAGAGAGAAATTGTGAATATTACCAACACACCTCCAGGGGCCCTTTATCCAAGAGGTCACGCGACCCCATTCCCCGCACCACAATCTTCACCGTCAAATTTTCAAGGATTCAAGGTCATCCCCTTGTCAGACATTGTCGCCGATTGCATGTTAAAGTTACTGGCAAGTTGGAGTAGCAGCTCCTGAGACAGACACTGGACTCGTAATCGATCGAATAATAAAATATTTCCGGGGAGCGGATTGGACTTGCAGCTTTTCCGATATTTTACAAATTCACGAAACCACTCCAAGAGACTTTCTCCCAGTGAATTATTTTCATATTTCTGTAGCACGAGATATTGTCAACTCCATCATCCTCCAATTGTAAATTTTTTAATGACATTCGAAAGCTCAATTGCATGCCGATTCTCAATCGAAAATTTCCAACTACATTCATCCAAGTTGTAAACAATTTTGCAACACAGTAATACTGGGAAAATTCCCCTTCTACTTCATCGAACCCACTCCATCGGATGTTAGGCAAAGAGAGGGGGGATAGCTGCACCGACTATAATGGAGTTTGTTGAATTGGTTTTTGTGTATGAAATCCAAGGACTCGGTGCTGCTGGTTACGATATGGATGGAAGAAATACACGAGGTCTTCGCACCTATTTCCACATTGAAAAAGCCCTTCTACCTTTTACTGCTGCTTCTATCCACCGGCCCAACCCCCTTCAATCCACTCGTGCCAATCCCATAGTATATCCTGCACCTCTACGGGTTGTACACCAAAACGCTAACTTTGGAGGAGAGGTTGGGCGAAAGTTTACACGACGCGAACGGCAGGTGTTATTTGCTCTAGCAAGTTAGATAGAACTCGTCGAAGCCCCCTCTCCTTAAGCCCCCCAACCCCACCCACTTTTCCATTCCCTCTTCCGCCCACCTTCGCATCCCACTGTACCGCCAACTTGCCCTCTTCGCCTTTCAACCCTCTCTCCCTCTCAAGTGTCAGGATCGAATGCACCAGGGGATATTGCAATTAACCCCCCCACCCCCCTTCCCATCGTTCCTCGCAGGCCCCCGTACACGCCATTGCCAACGACTTCAACAACGGATATTTAGTTTCAAATTATCGACAAATTCATTTCTCTCGAAGTTAGAAGCACGGTGACTCATGTCTGTCATTATTCTTCATATTTTCCTTTCCTCGAAGTAATTTCCTGGTGAACTAGGGACTGATCATATAGGTTGAAAAATTGCACTACTACAAATCAGGTAAATTGGAAGGGAAAATATTGTTTTTCAGGATATGATGAATTTCGAGTGGAAATGTCGAGGTATTTTACCTCATGAGCTTTTCAACAATTTCAACCAATGTGCATTCACCGATGAATAATTGACCTAAATTGAAAAACCACGAGCAATCCTGGGTTCGTATGAATTTTTAGTGATATAGCGTAGTGGCAGGAAATGATATGAAATAAAATTCCAACTGTAACAACTTCATATTTTTAACTAGCGAGTATTCCTGATTGATATGACTAATGAATATCTAATATTGTATATTTGAATGCAACTGACACGGAAAATTTGTAAGATTTCTAATACTGTGCGAATTTTTCGATATGCATTCACCGAACCACCATTGGCTGGGATAAATGGGGAATTTGAAAAAATTCGCAATTCGAAGGCATTTCCTTGTTTTTTCACTGGCAATTTGTGGAGCGTCATTCAAAACGTATTGTGATTATCGTGGTATTCCAGTAATGGCGATTGTGTTCGGCAAAACCCCACCGTTGTGATAAAACTCGGAACCTCACGGACAGCTAATCATATTAATCATATTAGCGGCTTCATTTAATTATTGAATTTTTTCAACTATGTCATACCTTGATTAAGGGTACTACAATTATCTGAATAGTTTCGTATCATCAAAAAATAATTTTCTTTCAAACAGCGAAGCTCGATATTGCAACTGAAAATTCCCCGGCTGAACTAATAAAATCGAATTAAGAAGGAAGCGGTGAAAATAAATTTTCAACAAACCCATTTATCCTACGAATTTTTTAACAACAGAACGCAATAATAATACGTGGACCTTAATTGAATAATGAAGTGAAAACCGAGTTCCGAGTTGAAACATGTGAGTATTCCAAACTAAAAGAAAATTTTTCTAATTGTTATATTTTGCCTGGAGGGGGTTGAAGGGTTTATTACCATCTACGAGGCAAATATGTGAGAAACCAACTAAAATTAATAATTGATTGAAAAAGTGGATTTTGTTGATGCGTCAGTATGAGAAGATGTTCGCACAAATAATACGAATAAACTCGAAAATTTCTGAGAAAGTGTGGCTGTGCATTGCTTACACGCATATCTAAACCATTAATTACGACTCATTAGGAAAGCAACCGCCATCTGTCCCGGACGGACCGTGAATCACTCTTAATCATTGTATCTAGAGAGTCCCTTTGAGCGCACACACGGTAGCAAACTGGACGTTTCTCTCATCGCATGGCTTATCTCTCCCTCTCTCTCACATCTGCCTTACTCATGCTTTTCTTCTCCATTCCCTTGCTTTACTATCTCACCATTTTTTTAATTTTTATTCTCTTCCTTTTTATCAACTGAACGACTTTTGCAAACTTCCCTCGGTGCACTCACGCACCAAACACGTACGGATTAATTCCTCAGGATGTCTGGATATACGTGGTCATGTATTTCGCTCATCTCTTCTTATTTTATATTCACGCAAGAGTGCGTAGGGATATAAGCACTTGGTGTTGATGGCATGGACCAGAGCTCCATTTGCCATATATGCGAACAACAGTTTCGAGAGGCCATTGCCAATTACACGTGTGCGATACTCATCGATATGTCCCCGTTACCTCTCCCATTCTCCATTCGTCATTCGACCATGGCGCACCATTAGACAACCATTGCCACCGTTTATCAATAATCCCCCGGGTGGAATTCGGGCTTTATTTATCATTATTGAATAAATCCTCGAAGTTTTCCGGATACATCATTGGAGAACGATAGGAGTTTTATGGAACGTTTTTCCATCATTTCGAAAGGCAAAAAAATTCTGGTAATACCATTCCAAAAAAAAAAAGATATAATTGGAGTGCGATGAATCCCGAGCAAATGGACCGGTCTAACGATCGAAACACTATGAAATTCAATGTGAAAAAACCGAGTAAACTGTGAAAAAAAAAAATCCTCCAATTAATGGGATCAGCTCCAATATCTTTTTCATTAAAAGAAGTTTATATTTCACTTTATCGAGGGAAGCCATAGATAGACCCGAAGTCTAAATATTCGCTGACATCCAGTAATCACTCAATTAGCTTCAATTTGCCCAGCGCTAACGAGTCCCTCGTTTCGTCACTCTGGAGTGCATCATTCATTAACAATTACAGAAAATCCACCAGTCCAGAATAAAGTATTTCTTCCGCCAGTCCCCAAAACCATAAACGCGAGTGTTATTCATCAGTAAACCGTGAGAATTCAACTCGTTAGAAAAATCACGAGCTAAACAGCTGTAAAACCTTGGGTTTTGTTGCAGTTGCTTCCCCGGCCCCTTGGAAAAAAAAATGCCAAACGTTTTGTGCAATTCCCTGGACAAATAAGACACATTCGCCTCTAATGAAAAAAATGGAAAAGGTCACTGCTCTTTTATGGCCAGAGACAACTGTGTTGCATAAACCAACCTAAAGACGCCCATAACATATTCATATACGCTCGAGATATTTATACAAAGAGAAACGATACCTCGAATTCAATTTCCAGAAATTAGTTTCAGTGTTCACCGACGTTTGCACATCTAATGTCACAGTGACACGCGCTAATTCCATTCTCAAAACGAGGCCGTTTCCTCCATCTCTCCCTCGACTGTTTAGCAATCAGTGAGAAAACAGTGGAGAAACCCGCAAATTGAAAGCTAGTCGTGGGGCCGACAAAAACGTGACCAAGGGATGGAAGTGCGCAAAAACCAAAGGAAAAAAACAAAACCGAAATCAATTGCGGGATGAAAGGTAATGGAGGGAATGGGTGTTGAGTTAGCCATAGATGATTCTCCGGTGGACTATCCCCATGTATTCAGGGCCGCAGGATAATCCAATTGATGGCCACTGTATCTATGAGTGAAGAGGGCAGAAAGTACGTGGTAAGCAGTGAGAATCGAGGGATAGATGGAGGTATGAGTGTCTTAATGACAGACAGAAAGACAGCAATGAAGATGCCTTTGATAAAGTTGAATGAAAGAAAGGAGGGAATGAGGACTGAAATCGATTTGCTTTGACGGTTGGTTTCAGCTGATAAAAAGAGATGTCTGGGCTTTATCTAGACATTCTCTTATTTGCCCATCCACCCCTCGTCACTCCCACTCTCCATAAAAAACCCATTTGGTGGAAATGTTTTGTTACCCATCCAAACCCATTCCGTCGTCATTCAGGGATGCAGTTCGATGGAGTAGTGATCGCATGGGATATCGGTACGTGGCATTTTTTAATTAATCCTCATGCCTAAGTATTTTTTTATGAGAATTCCGCGTGACGCCTGGGGACGCGAACCGTGGGGGATGTCCCTGCAGTCCATGATATTTTTTTTCTATCGATATATATTCGACATCTATGTATTCTATATGTGCTCGATATGTATGTATTAGAGGACACCCTCTGTGGTGGTTAGCCCTATCAAAGCATTGGTTGGATCTGGTGGCGCGTCACGGAGGGAAAAAATTTTCGTTAAATTCAAGTTTTTGTCTAAAGTTCATCTATCAATGATGTTATCTTTTTGTTGCATGAGAAAAATTGCAGTATATGCCATCGCCCTTTCCTCCAGATATTCCTAGATTGACTAACTTTCTTTAATTTTAACTCGATCCGGAAAAAAACTACTTTAATTCCCAGAGAATGATCAATCAATCCCTCCAATATAAGCAAGTGGCGCGGGAGGAGAGAGGGATAAACATGAATATCATTAGTACGTTCTGGAAGCATGGCAAATGTTGACAGTACAAACAGCCGGTCTATTCTCCCTTGCCGAACGTTGAAATATCGGGGCACTTTACCAGCGTACTGATGCCCAAGGGGCAAGCCAACAACGAATCAAATTCATTTCCATTTAGAAAAGAAACTCAAGTAAATTAATGCATCGCAATTAATTCCCACTACCCCCTCCAATAATCTAATTCAATTGAACGCGAATGGAAGGGGGAGATTCTCCAATAACTCGAAGAGGTAAAAATTTCTTACAATATTAAGTGGAAATATTCTGCCATTATCTCA